TTGCAGTCCTGCAAGCTCCACTCATGGTAAGTGTCCTATATAGGTGTACCAATTTTTATCTTTTATACTGTTTTTTCTTTAAAAGAAGGATCCCACTGTGTTGTGATTCTTCTGCCTCAGACTCAAAGGTAGCTGGACCACAGGTGTGTGCCATCATGCCTGGCTCTTTCGGACAGGGTCTCACTGTCTTGCCTAGACCAGCCTCTAACTCGGTCTTCCTGCCTCAGCCTCTCTGAGCCGTTGAGGTTACATGTGCACTCCACTGAACTTGGACCTTAGTTTGGACTGGGAATTGATCCTGTGTAGTCCCAGCCTATGGAGCACAGCATTTTAGCAGTCTGCACCATTGCTGATGAGTCTTTTATATTCTATTTTTACTGTATCTTTTCTGTGTTTAAATATATGTGTACTGTTGTGTTATAATTGCCTACAGTATTCAATACAATAGCAGGCTATACAAGTAAATAGCCTAGGAAGTAGGCTGTACCACATAGTCTAGGTGTATAGTAGGCTATTCCATTTGGATTTGTATAATGTACACTTTATGATTTGCACAATGATGAAATTGCCTACTGAGACATTTCTCAGAATGTATTCTCACTGATAAGTGATGCATGACTGTATGTGTATACCACATTTTGTTTATCCATTTTCCTGTCAGCGGGCACTTAGGTTGCTTCTAACTTGTTAGCCATTGTGAATAATGATGCTGTACAGACCAGTTACGTGGTCTAGTGGTTAAGGGACTGAATCCCACATGGCTAGCTGTGCAGTTTAGTTCCCAGTCCATGTGTTAGGTATGTGTACATTTGTGCCCAAAATCCTGAAAGGAAAGAGAAATAGAGAAGAGATTGTGGCTCAACCATGCCCTGTTGAAGGGAACTTTCTCCTTTTCCCTCTGTGCTCTGTGTGTGTGTGTGTATCTGTCTGTTTCTCTCTCTCTCCCCCTCCCTGGTGAGCACATGTGCCCGCTGGTAAAATTTAAAAAGAAAATAATGCTACTGTGGATATGGGTATACAAATACTTCGCTAAGGTCCGGTTTTCAGTTATCACGGGTAGATGCTTGAATGGAATTACTGTAATTCTATTTTTCATTTTTGAGAAATCATGCAATTTTCCATAGCAGCTATCTGTAGGACCCAAAAAAATCATGGAAAATAGACTTGAAAGTGTGAGTTTACTTGTATGCAAAAAATTTTGAAACTGGTGCATAGTTTTTCACAATATGTCCTTTACATGAGCTTTTTGAAGGTTGTGTGTACATTTTTCATTCCCACCACCAGTACACAAGGTTCCAGTCTCTCCACTTTAATATTTATTTCTGTTTTTATTTATATATATATATATATATAGAGACACAGAAAGTGAACATGCACTGCCCCTACTCCCCACCACAAGAGATGGTCATGCTGCATTTCTCCTCCGTTTCTCCCTTTGGGATTTTTAGCACACATGCGTATTTGTCCACTGTTTTTCAAGCTGCTATGTCTGGGTTTCAAACTGTACAGTCGGGGGACCAGCAGTTAGCGTAATGGCTATGTCGCTGGACTCCCACGTAGTTGACCACGGTTCGAGTCCCGGATTCGGTGGCTTAAACTCACTCCGGGCACGTGTGTGTGCGTACCCAAGATCCTGAGAGGAGAATGGAGGAGAAGGGTTTGCGGCGTGCATGGTCATCCCCCCTGGGGGGTGATTTCTCGCTTTCTGTCTCTCTGTCTCTCACTGTCTGGCGAGCACCCATGCCCTATAGCAAAAACCTCTCAAAAAAAAAAAAAAAAAAAAAAACGAA